GTTCGCACTGGTATTCAAAGTCCTGGAAGAACCCATCCACATCTCCGGTGTGCTCTTGGTAGGGCTTAAAGTCCTTCCTGGATATTCTCTGGGCCTCCCCTGCCACAGGGACAGCCACAGGAGCAGCTGCTTGATTCTTTGCAGCTTCCCACTCTGTTTGTCTCTTTTGAGCCTTTTCAATGGCCGCCATCTTTCTTTCTAGGGTGGCATCCTTCCCCAGAATGGCCATCTCTTCCTCGTACCAGATGACCCAAGGGCTCTTGCCACTTGTGCTTTGAAGCTCTGGTCCATCTCCTCTCAGGACTGCTTGGCTCCGGTCTGTGCCCGCATCTTCCCGTTGCTGTTGGCTGGCTTCCTCCAGCAACCAGACCAGCTGATCTTTGTTAAGTCCCTTGTAGTTGAGGCCCAAAGTTCCGGCCTTTTCTTGTAAGCTGGTTTACCATCCAGTGTTGATATTCCGGGGCCACCGCTTCCATTGTATGCAGACTCTCATCTGCCATCTCGAGTGCTCTCGTCCCGCCGCTGCCCAACCAGTTGTGAGGAGAACCAGAGAGCACACAGAGGCAGATTGCACGGAACCCAACGTGCTTATATTGGGGAGGTTTTTGGGGCACAGACAACAGTTACTTTAGTCCACAGATCCACACCAGACACAGCAACACAGTACAGTTCTCTGGAAGGCAATATGGACCAACAGGGGTATTGTAATCTACAGGGTTAATCCACACAGGAGGCTCCAGGCAGGGATGAGTTAAGTCCAGGCAGGTTCACAGAGAACAAGGGGTTAAGTCCAGGCAGGTTCACAGAGAACAAGGGGTTAAGTCCAGGCAGGGGATAGATCCAGGCAGATTCACGAGGACAGCAGAAGATTCCTCCACAGTGCAGGGCTTCCAGGCAGCACAAACAGTCCAGGAGATGAGGAGGAGGACGGGGGATTGATTGTCGGATGAGAGAAGCTGGCACTCAGCGCAGCCTTCCCTCACACACCCAGTCAGGAGAACACACGGAGGTTTTCCTGCTCACCCTTACGTATAGAGCTGGTAACCGGATACTTCCTGTCGGGTTACCATGGCAACGGGCCCTGTCTCCCAGGTCTCCAGACCTGTCCAGGGAGCTCAGGAATTTGTGCATGAAGGGGAAGGGAGGAGATGGCCTGTTTGTGGATTCCTGCAGCAGGGAGCCAGACTGCAAGCCAGGGGGGTGAGGGGCTGCTGAGGGCTGCCTGTGTCAGGGACAAGGAGGACTAGAAGTCCCAGCATGGATGGGACAGAAGAGCGAGGGGCTGCTGAGGAGTGGGGGGTGGCAGCCAGCAAACCTGGAGGATGGGGAAGGAAGGACAAGCTCCGTGACACAGGCGCTAGAGTTTCATGCTGATATCCCACTTATTGCTGGAAAACTACAGGCCCGGCGCTTCATATGTGTATCTTGCCTGTCCCTGGAAAATCATAGGCTTCAGCGTTTATATGTGTATTTCACCTGTCTTTGGAAAATTATAGCTTATTGCAAGAAACCACTATATAAACACACAGATGAAATATATGTTCTTGTAAAGTTTTAAAGAGAGATAATTAAAAGTACTATAGCAGCCCCTAGTGGGCGTGCTGAAAAAGAGCATATAGAAAGGGAACTTTGTTTAATAGTATGGTGGTAGTTGTCTGAAGAGGAAAAACAGGAGAAGAAGACTTGAAAGAATATTGTGACATAGTGGGACTATATATTACTCGGATAGTGTGCAATTTGAAAATTAGTATAAAATTATTGCCTTCTTGACTGAGGAGTGACAAGGGAACACAACGAGTAATTTAGTTCACGGAGGAGGAGGTGGGGAAGGAGAGAGAAGAAAAGAGGAAAGAACAAATAAGGAGGGGAAAGGAAGGGGGAGGGAAAGAATAAAGAGACAGAAGAAAAGGAAGATAAAATGAGGAGTAAAGCGATTAAAGGAGGGGGCGTAAAAACACCCCAATTAAGAGTGAGTTCCTCAAATATAAAAAAATATATTTGCCTACCCAAGAGAAAAAAAGCCCTGAACCCCAAAATGAAGATAATGAACTAGTGAGGCATCCCAATTTAGGAAGGGATCAACATAGACTGTCCTATGGGATGATGGAGGAGAGAATCAGGATAGAGATCTTTCTTATATAGAAAATATGGGAGAACAAAGAAGAAAAGACCAAGAAAGGGACATGGCTCACTCAATTTCAAAACTAGATCTATCTTAAATGTTCGCGCAAAAATGGAGAATGTGTTGAAAAAAGAGATCGGGAATCTACATGGAGATCTGAGTCACTTGTTGGGGCGAATGGAAGAAATTGAGAGAAAATCAGAGGAACAGGAAAAGAAAATTAAAGATTTAGAGAAGGAAGTGGAAGAGAAGTTTAGAGAACAGAGAGAATTATTTCTTAAAGTGGAAGAACAAGAGAATTGTTTCAGAAGGAATAATTTAAAGATTAGAGGTTTGCCAGAACCAACGGGGCAAGAGGAGGACCAGCCAGAAAAAATAAAAAAAATCTGTAACCCAATAATGGGTAGAGGAATGATCAATACACTAGAAATGGACAGAGTATATAGGATTAGACGCCCAAAGTGAATTCCTATGAAAATTCAGAGAGATGTGATTGTGAGGTTCCATAAACTGGGAGATAGAGAAAAGATTTGGAAAGGGGTACAAGACTTTCCCGAGATAAAATATGAAGAAGCAGTCTTAGAGATCTATGCAGATATGGCCCCAGAGACATTGGCTAGGAGGAGGTCTCTAAAACCTTTATTGACTCATATGAGAGAGAAAAAAAGTTAGATATAACTGGGGGTTGCCTGCTTCATTGATTGGCTGGAAAGATGGAAGATAGGTAAGACTGAGATACCCTGAAGACTTTAACGATTTTTGTGATAAGCTAGAATTACAGAGAATCTCGATCTCGGGATGGTCGGAGGAAGATAGGGAGAAAGAAGTCCAAGGGTCAGGATGGTGGCAACAGGTTCCAGAGAGGAGGAAATAGGAGGAAGAGGAGCAAAAGGGAGGGAGGGGGATTGGGGAGATGGGGGGACAGGGAAGTAGAGGAGTGATGGGAGAGTGGCGAAGGTGGGGGAGATTATTTCTAACTCCGTCTCCTTCCCTTTTCTATCCCTCTTTCTTGGGGGTTTTTTTTTTCCTCCCTCCTTTGCCCAGTTCCTCTCCTTTCTCTATAGGTCCAAGTAGGGATTATCAGAATAATATATACCCCAATGGATTGTACTCCTAAGGGGCAATGAAGTGCGATAAGTGGGCTTAAGTGAAGGGGGCAGGTTTGCGTCCTGACAGAAACAGTACAGGGCTGTTCACTGGGACCTGGTAGGACATCAGACCAGGCGATGGATGGGTCGCCATGCTACGAGTTATATCCTTATATAGGAATCGCTAGGAAGGTTCTTTTTAGAAAGATTCTATGGCTAATAGAAGGCCAGGGGGGTGGGAGGGGGGTGGGAGGGACGAGGAATGGGAGGGGCAAAATAAGGATGAAGAGAAACTATTTGTATCTATGTACATGTGAAAGGAAGGTGTTGGGTCAAAATAACAAAGGGAATAATGACAGAGATCAAGTTTTTGACTTATAATGTGAAAGGATTAAATTCCCCCAAAAAAAGATATAAGATACTTAGAGAGATACAGCAATATTCAATAGACATAATCTTCCTCCAAGAAACTCATTTAACTAGAAATACCAATGTAAAACTGTATTCGAAGCAATATCAATTTTTGCTATATACAGACTCACCTGTAAAGGGAGAAAAAGTGGTGGCAATTGGGATTTTGAAAAAAGTTAATTTTGATCTGGAGGATTGAATGGAAGACCCGGAGGGTCGGTATCTGTTCATCAGAGGAAAACTGGAAGGAAAGGAATATACATTTGCTAATATATATTGCCCCTATAAGAATCAAGTAGGATACTTAGGGGGGGGTTATAAGAAAACTTGTAGAATTTAAAAGTGGATGCCTGGTAGTGGCAGGGGATTTTAATCTATGTATGGACCCAAGGTGGGATATGTCAACGGGGGTGAGGAGAGAGAGAGAGAGATAATAAACTTAAATCACTGAAGAGGTTAATGCATAAGCAGCAATTGGTAGATGTGTGGAGGATAATTCATCCTAGGGAAAGAGATTATACTCACTATTCACATGTCCATGGTTCATATTTAAGACTGGACTATATAATGATTGAGCATAGACAATTAGAGGCACTGAAGGGATCCAATATAGAGAAGTCATGTCATTATCAGACCACTCCCCTGTCACTATGAGGCTACAAATAGGGAGGGGCGATGATAAAATTGTTTCTTGGAAATTAAATAAATCACTTCTGCAGGATCCCGAAGTTGAGAAGAGGTTAAGACGGGAAATTGAACATTTCTTTGAATTAAATGAGACTGAGGGGATGTCTGAAGCAACAGTATGGGAAACACACAAAGCTTACATAAAGAGGTATACTGATCTCTATACGTATAGAAAAGAAGGGGAAAAATAAAACAGATTATAGAAGAATTGTATAAATTAGAACAAATGCATAAAAAGAAGATGGGTATAGATACTGTAAATATCAGGAGATAATAATAAAAAAGAGATGAGTTGAAAGACCTGATGGAACAGGATTCAAAGATGATATATAATAAAGTAGCCAAAGAAAGATCCCAATGGGGGAATAAACCAGGAAAACATCTAATGAGAAGACTTAGGAATAAGAAATCTAGGAACTTTATAGAAAAAATTAGAGATAGGAAGGGGGATATTAGGTATAAAACTTCAGATATAGCCAGAAGGTTTCATGACTTTTACAGTGAATTATATGATGTAAGGGAGAGGACTAATGGGGAAAGTGAGGAGGAGATGAAAGAAAGAGGACAGAACTATCTTAGAGGAGTAGAGCTACCTAGGTTAGCACAGGGTCAGGAACAATCAGGCAGACAAGGTACCAAAGGAGCAGGCTGGAGAGTGGTCAGGAATAGCCGAGGCCAGGACAGGCGGAGTTCGTTCAGAGTCAGGATCAAGGCAGGAAGCAGGTACAGGGGCTCATGGGAAACATACACCAAGGCACTGATCACAGGCCTGGTCCTGCTTAAATACACCTTCTGCAATCAGCCTCAGGTGATGGCCTGATTGTAGGAGTGAGATTCTGGCTGCTGAGAGCACCTGCTGGGCAGCCTTGGTACTGCAGCCCACAAGGCAGGTGAGTCCCACCACCATTGGTGAGTCCATTCCTGACAGTACCCCCCCCCCTCAAGGAGCGGCCTCAGGATGCTTCAAACAGTCCTTAATGGGCAAAATGTTCCACCACCTGGGTCAGGTAACTGGCTGGATATCAGGGGCTGGCACATCAGGCTGGGCAGCGGACAGAGGCACATCAGGCTGGGCAGCGGACAGAGGCACATCAGGCTGGGCAGTGGACAGAGGCACATCAGGTGGAGCAGCGGGCACCGGGCCATCAGGCGGAGCAGCGGGCACCGGGCCATCAGGTGAGGCAGCAAGCACCGGGCCATCAGGCAAGGCAGCGGGCACCGGGTCACCAAGCTCGACAGTGGGCACCGAGTCATCTGGCACGACAGCAGGCACCGAGTCATCTGGCACGACAGCGGGCACCGAGTCATCTGGCACGACAGCGGGCACCGAGTCACCAAGCTCGACAGCGGGCACCGAGTCACCAAGCTCGACAGCGGGCACCGAGTCACCTGGCACGACAGCGGGCACTGAGCCACCTGGCACGACAGCGGGCACCGAGTCATCTAGCACGACAGCGGGCACCGAGTCATCTGGCTCGACAGCGGGCACCGAGTCACCAAGCTCGACAGCGGGCACCGAGTCACCAAGCTCGACAGCGGGCACCGAGTCATCTGGCAGGACAGCGGGCACTAAGTCATCTGGCAGGACAGCGGGCACCGAGTCATCTGGCAGGAGAGCAGGCACCAAGTCACTAAGCTCGACAGCGGGCACCGAGTCATCTGGCATGACAGCGGGCACCGAGTCATCGTGTATGACAGCAGACACCGAGTCATCTGGCATGACAGCAGACCCAGAGAGCACCCGCTGGGCAGCCTTGGTACTGCAGCCCACAAGGCAGGTGAGTCCCACCACCATTGGCGAGTCCATTGCTGACAGGTATACTGTAAGGCATTTGAAAAAATGTAAGGATCTTCTTGTACCTAAAATGTGTCATTATATGAATGCAATAGGTGAGGGTTTGGAAATGAGGGAAGAATCGTTGCAGGCATATATTTTGCTTATTTTGAAGGAAGGGAAAGAGAGTTCGCAGTGTGCAAATTATAGACCGATATCGTTGTTGAATGCTGATACCAAACTATATGCAAAAGTCTTGGCAACAAGGCTGAGGGACCTGATGCCAGAATGGGTACATATGGATCAGGTGGGTTTTATCCCGGGGAGAGAGGGACGAGACAATGGACTGAGATCCTTACTATTGGTTTAAATAGGTAAAAGGAAAAAACCCCGGTAATATTATTGTCGATTGATGCTGAAAAGCCTTTGATAAGGTTAACTGGGAGTTTATGTTCAAACTTTGGAAAAGTTGGGATTGGGAATTAAGATGTTAAACTGGATTAAGGGTTTATATAAGAGACCATCAGCGGCAGTAAAGATAAATGGAGCTTTTTCACAATTCTTCAAGATGCACAATGGAACCAGACAGGGATGTCCCCTTTCCTCATTGTATGTGCTGACATTAGAGCCATTCCTGGAAAGGATTAGGAAGTGTGATGATATAAGAGGGATAAAAGTAGGAGACGTGGAACATAAAGTCGCCGCGTTTGCAGACGATATGCTGTTCTATGTCACCAACCATATAACAACTTTACCAAACCTAATGAAAGAATTAAAACAATATGGGGCGATATCAAACCTGAAGATAAACCCTGGGAAATCAGAAATATTAAACATTAATTTATCATTGAAAGATAAGAAAAATATACAAAAAGCATTTTCATTTACCTGGAGGGAAAATGAAAGACTATCTTGGAGTAAAATTAGCCACCTCATTAAAAAAATTATATCAGTCAAATTATATCCCTCTTATAAATTAAATAAAAGAGGAGCTAAAAAGATCAGCAAAGGGTGGGGCCTCATGGATTGGATGAATAAACCTAGTTAAAATGGTATTACTCCCAAAAATTCTATATAAATTTCAAATACTCCCGATTTCCCTCCCATGAGCTTTCTTTGCCATAGTTAGAAAGATGATTACAAAATTAATCTGGGCTAATAAGAGACCTAGAATTATTACACAGCAATACTGCTATCACGAGTTGTAGATTGGTCTTTTAATATGCAAAGGAAAAGTTGGGTAAAAATAGAAGAGGAATTAAGTAAAACACAATTACAGAAGATGATATGGATACCACATAGGTTTCAAACATTAGATGTAGGCACGAGTAAGATGACTAGGATTGTATTAGACCAGGGGTCCTTAAACTACCGCCACATGCGGCCCGCCGAGGACATTTATCCAGCCTGCTGGGCAGGGGCGTATCTGCCGCAAGGCAAGGGACTACGGTTTGGCAGGTTAGGAGAGCTCTGCAGGGCTCGGGCGGGAGGCAGGAGGGCGGGATCAGCAATGCTGGAACAGGCGAAGGTGGGCTCGGCTTATGAACCCACACCACTCACCTGGCCTCTCTGCAGCCAGCCGGCCATCTATTCTGATCAGTGCATTGAACCATCATGGCCGGAGGGCGAAGCCTAGAGCTGACCATGAAGAGGGGGAGCAAGAGAGGAGACTCCATCGCTGCATGTCGGGTATCACGGCCACGGACCCTAGATAAGTGCAAAAGATGATCGATCTCCTCCCTCTCTCTTTCCCCCCTCTCTCCTCTCTCCCTTCCCCCACCTCTTTCTCCCCCCTTCCTCTCTCTCCCCCCTCCTCCCCCCTCCTCTCTCTCCCCCCCTCCCCCTCCTCTTCCCCCCCTCCTCTCACTCCCCCTCCTCTCCCCCCTCCTCTCTCTCTCCCCCTCCTCTCTCTCTCCCCTCCCCTCTCTCCCTCCTCTCTCTCCCTCTCCCCCCCCCCTCCTCTCTCTCTCTCCCCCTCTCCCCCTCCTCTCTCTCTCTCCCCCTCTCCCCCTCCTCTCTCTCTATCACCCCTCCTCTCTCTCTCCCCCTCCTTTCTCTCTCTCCCCTCCTTATCTCCCCCCCCCTCTTTCTTTACATTGTACACAGATATGACCCAATAAGGTGTCCTGCATTTACCGTATATTTCGCTCCATAAGACACACTTGGGGAAATGTCTGTGCGTCTTATGGAGCAGCCGGCCCAGTATTCCCGCCGCCGTCGTATGTCCGCAGTCTCTGGTCATCTCATGTACTATGTCCGCAGTCTCTGGTCATCTCCTGTACGGTGTCTGCATTTGTTCATAGTTTTTTTTTTTTTTAAATTATAGCCCGGCCCTCCAACGGTCTGAGGGACAGTGAACTGGCCCCCTGTTTAAAGAGTTTGAGGGCCCCTGTATTAGACACTTGGGATAGAATTCACAGTAAGAAAAAATGGAAATACAATTCGTTGAAGATACCATTAAAGGGCACAGAATTTTTTGCACCAGGAAATGTTAAAATAGGGGGAAATTGGATAAAAGATAAGAGTGCACATTTGAAAGATATTGCAAAAGGAGGGAAAATAAGCATGTTTCAAATGTTAAAAAAAAGAAATATTTCTTTAATAAGTTGGATGAATGGAGGTATAACCAGCTACATCATTTCATGGCAAGCCTACCGCAACTGATGAGTCAAAACTAGTGAATGGGGTTGGAACCCCAAAAAACATCACCTCTAGGATATACAAGATCCTTATGGACTTAGATGGGATAGATCCCCTTGGGTATGTAAGCAAATGGGAGAAGGAACTGGGAGTAGAAATGAACTTGCAGCAAAGAAAAAATATTTTAATACAACACATATGGCAACAATTATGCATACAGCAGAAATTAATTACAAATGCTTAGCGATATGGTATATAACCCCAAGTGTGGCCCATAAACAGCAAGTAGAGAGCTCCCCTTGGTGTTGGAGAGGTTGTGGAGAAAGGGGTAGTATGGAACATACGTATATGGTGGAGCTGCCCAAAACTGAAGTGTTACTGGAGGGAAATAGCGTTATATATCCAAGAAATATGTGGGGTAGATATCCAGGGAGACCCATGGAAATGTTTATTTTATTATTTTGAGCCTGCTTCGGAACTACGAAAAAATAAAGTTTTGTATCATTTTATAAGTGCAGCAAAAGGTTTGATTCATAAATATTGGCAGGTGAAGGAGGCCCCAAAGATTGTATGTTGAATAGATAGAGTGGAGGGTATTGCTCGAATGGAGGAATTGAGATGTATAGAGGAGGATAAAATGGAGATGTTTAGGAGAACATGAAGTGGTTGGATGAAATTTTAGATCTCAGAAATGTATATTGAATTAATTAGAGCAAAGGGGGTAGTATGGAAAATTTGGTAGTTTTAACCACTTGCTGTCCTTAGGATTTACCCCTCTTAAGGACCAGGCCTCTTTCTGATACTCGGCGCTGCACTAATTCAACTGATAATTGCGCGGTCATGCAATGCTGCTTCCAAACGAAATTTTCGTCCTTTTTTTCAAACAAAGCTTTCTTTCGGTGGTATTTGATCACCTGTACGCTTTTTATTTTTCACGCTATAAAAAAAGACCAAAAATTTTGAAGAAAAACGATATTTTTTACTTTCAGCTATAAAAAATATATAGTAAACTCAAAGTTAGTTATAAAATTTAGGCCAAAATGTATTCTGTTACGTTTTTGGTAAAAAAAATACCAATAAGTGTATATTGATAGATTTGTGTGAAAGTTATAGCGTCTACAAACTATGGTATAGATACTGCAATTTACGCCATTTTTTTGCTATACAGCGCTGTGCTAGTTTAATGGACAATTGTGTGGTCATGCAATACGGTACATAAATGAAAATTACATCCTTTTTTTTCCCACAAATTGAGCTTTCTTTCGGTGGTATTTGATTGCCTGTGCGTTTTTTTATTTTTTGCGCTATAAAAAAAAAAAAGGCTGACAATTTTGAAGTAAAAAAAACAATATTTTGGACTTTTTGCTATAAAACATGTCCAGTAAAAAAAAATTAAAAAATTTAGTCATAAATTTCTGTCAAAATGCATTCTGCGACATGTCTTTGCTACAAAAAACCACAATACGTGTAAATTAATTGGTTTACGTGAAAGTTATAGCGTTTACAAATGGCGGGAAAGATACTGGGATTTTTAATTTTTTTTATACTAATAATGGCGGCGATCAGTGACTTATGGCGGTGATCAGCGACTTATGGTGGGACTGCGGCGGACATTATGACACTGGGGGGGAACTGACTTGGGGTCACTGACATCCCCAGTGACACCAATACAGTGATCAGTGCAAAAAAAAACACTGACACTGTACTAATGGCACTGGGGAGGAAGGGGTTAACTTTATTATTCAGTGAAAGGGTTAACTGTGTGAGGGGAGTGTTTTACTAGGGGGCAGGGGTGCTACTGCAGCTTTGCTCTCTGTCACTGATTGCCGCTAATCGCCGGGACATAGCCAGTAACGACCGGCTGTGACCCAGTGACTGACATCCGCGGCCGTGATCGGCGGGACAGGTAGGGCGGCAGCACACCTTGCGCGCGCCCCCTACCTGTTTTGAAAACACACATTTTAAAACGTGGTTTTGCCCAGCTGTGCCGCCCTGCCGCCGTATTTCTACAGTGGCTGGGTGGCATGTGGTTAAAGAAGGTCTAATGGCCTAAAGGGAAGGAGAGAAAAAGAAAGAAAAGGAATAGTACTAGATACAGACAGATATTAGAATAGTAGGGGAGGGGGGGTTGGGGGGGTAGGGGTGGGTGAGTGAGGGTAATAGATAAAATAGGTATTGTATTCTTATGAGGGGTTATGTTTGTTTGTTTTTTTAATGATTAAAGAGATGAGAAGAAAGGAGGGAAAAGGGGACGGGGAAGG